ATTCCTTAATGGATTTCTTAAAGACGAGTTGTATATGATGCAACCAGAAGATTTTGTCGATCCTAAAGGTGCTAACAAAATGTGCAAGCTCCATCGATCCATCTATGGACTGGCGCAAGCATCTCGGAGTTGGAATATACGCTTTGATGAGTTGATCAAAGCATATAGTTTTACACAGACTTGCGGTAAAGCCTGTATTTACAAGAAAGTGAGTGAGAGCACTACAACATTTCTGATAAGTATATGTGAATGACATATTGTTGATCGGAAATAGTGTAGAATTTTTTGGAAAGCATAAAGGAATATTTGAAAGGAGTTTTTCAAAGAAAGACCTCGGTGAAGCTGCTTACATATTGGGCATCAAGATCTATAGAGATAGATCAAGACGCTTGATAAGTTTTTTCAATGAGTACATACCTTGACAAATTTTTGAAGTAGTTCAAAATGGAACAGTTAAAGAAGGAGTTCTTGCCTATTGCAAGGTGTGAAATTGAGTAAGACTCAAAACTCGACCACGACAAAAGATAGAAAGAGAATGAAAGTCATTCCCTATGCCTCAACCATAGGTTCTATAAAGTATGCCATGCTGTGTACCAGATCTATTGTATACCCTACACTGAGTTTGGCAAGGGAATACAATAGTGATCTAGGAGTAGATCACTGGACATCGGTCAAAATTATCCTTAGTGGAATAAGGATATGTTTCTCGATTATGGAGGTGACAAAAGGTTCATCATAAAGGGTTACGTCGATGCACATTTTGACACTAATTCAGATGACTCTAAGTATCAATCTGGATACATATTGAAAGTGGGAGCAATTAGCTAGAGTAGCTCCGTGCAGAGCATTGTTGACATAGAAATTTGCAAAATACATACGAATCTGAATATGGCAGACCCGTTGACTAAACTTCTCTCACAAGCAAAATATGATCACACCTTAGTACTCTTTGGGTGTTAATCACATGGCGATGTGAACTAAGATTATCGACTCTAGTAAACCCTTTGAATGTTGGTCACATGGCGATGTGAACTATGGGTGTTAATCACATGCTGATGTGAACTATTGGTGTTAAATCACATGGCAATGTGAACTAGATTATTGACTCTAGTGCAAGTGGGAGACTGAAGGAAATACGCCCTAGAGGCAATAATAAAGTTATTATTTATTTCCTTATTTCATGATAAATGTTTATTATTCATGCTAGAATTGTATTAACCGGAAACTTAGTACCTGTGTGGATACATAGACAAACAGAGTGTCACTAGTATGCCTCTACTTGACTAGCTCGTTGAATCAAAGATGGTTAAGTTTCCTAGCCATAGACATAAGTTATCATTTGATTAACGGGATCACATCATTAGAGAATGATGTGATTGACTTGACCCATTCCGTTAGCTTAGCACTTGATCGTTTAGTATGTTGCTATTGCTTTCTTCATGAATTATACATGTTCCTATGACTATGAGATTATGCAACTCCCGAATACTGGAGGAACACTTTGTGTGATACCAAACGTCACAACGTAACTGGGTGATTATAAAGGTGCTCTACAGGTGTCTCTGATGGTACTTGTTGAGTTGGCATAGATCAAGATTAGGATTTGTCACTCCGATTGCCAGAAAGGTATCTCTGGGCCCTCTCGGTAATGCACACCACTATAAGCCTTACAAGCAATGTAACTAATGAGTTAGTTGCGGGATGATGCATTACGGAATGAGTAAAGAGACTTGCCGGTAACGAGATTGAACTAGGTATTGAGGTACCGACGATCGAATCTAGGGCAAGTAACATGCCGATGACAAAGGGAACAACGTATGTTGTTATGCGGTTTGAACGATAAAGACCTTCGTAGAATATGTGGGAGCCAATATGAGCATCCAGGTTTCACTATTGGTTATTGACCGGAGATGTGTCTCGATCATGTCTACATAGTTATCGAACTCGTCGCACGCTTAAAGTTCTGTGACGATCGGTATTATGAGTTTATGTGATTTGATGTACCAAAGGTAGTTCGGAGTCCCGGATGAGATCGGGGATATGACGAGGAGTCTCGAAATGGTCGAGACATAAAGACCGATATATTGGACGACTATATTTGGACATCGAAAAGGTTCCGAGTGATTCGGGTATTTTTCGGGGTACCGGGGAGTTACGGGAACACGAGGAAGAAGTAATGGGCCTTATGGGCCAAGTGGTGGAAGAGAGGAGGCAGGGCACGCGCCCCCTAGCCCAAACCGAATTGGACTAGGGGGCCGGCCCCCCTTTCCTCCTTTTCCTCCCTCTCCTTCCTTCTCCCTCTCCTCCTTCCTTTCCTCCTCCTAGTAGGAGTAGGAAAGGGGAGTCCTACTCCTACTAGGAGGAGGACTCCTCCTCCTGGTGCGCCCTACAGGGGCTGGCCGGCCTCCCCCCTTGCTCGTTTATATACGGGGGCAGGGGGGCATCCCATAGACACACAAGTTGATCATTGATCTCTCCCAGCCGTGTGCGGTGCCCCCCTCCACCATAATCCACCTCGGTCATATCGTAGCGGTGCTTAGGCGAAGCCCTGTGATGGTAGCTTCATCAACATCGTCATCACGCCATCGTGCTGACGACACCCTCCTTCGAGCTCTACTGGATCGTGAGTTCGCGGGACGTCACCGAGCTGAACGTGTGCTGAACACGGAGGTGCCGTACGTTCGGTATTGAGGATCGGTCGATCGTGAAGACGTACGACTACATCAACCGCGTTGTCATAACGCTTCCGCTTTCGGTCTACGAGGGTACGTGGACGACACTCTACCCTCTTGTTGCTATGCATCACCATGATCTTGCGTATGCGTAGGAATTATTTTGAAATTACTACGTTCCCCAACAGTGGGTCGGGGTGAAAATCTATTCTACCTTCGGGCAGGCCGACGGCGGCGATGTTCGTGCCCTTTTTGAAGGCGTCGCTGCGGTCCTCATTGCCCATCATGTCGCTTCAGGGGAAACCGTAATCCTCAGATCAGGTGGTGGCGGCACATTCTTGTCGTACCCTTCCTGAAGGCGCCGCTTTGGAGCTTATGGTTCGTCGTATGCGGCTTCGTTTCTTCGTGGTGGTGTCTTCACGGTTGAGATCCCCGGCAGCTCTTCTAGTGGTAGGGGTGGTGTTGCTGTGCACAATGCCATTGTATCCGTCTTGGGTGTGTGCGTGTGTTGGTGTGGCGTGAGTTTGTATCGAGTTGTTGTTGGTCCTTGCTTTATATATAAAACGGGGCGAAGGACTTTTTCAGTATGTTGTTGGATTTTACCTTCCCGGGTTCAGTAGTTGTACGTATACGCCAGCCTTGCGCTGTCGAGAAAAACCCATATATAAAATGCGATCCGGATCGTGAATTTGTATCTCAATAAAACTTGATAGGTCCAAAATGAAGCGGATTATGTGATGCAAAATACGATTTTCTGGGTCTAGTGGATAAATGGATAGAGCCTGGCTCCAATTCTGGTAAAATAAAAAGCAACGAGCCGAACTTCCTAATTGGAATGATTCCCCGCTCTAATTAGACATTAAAAATAGATTAGTGCCGAATACGGGGAAAGGTTGGGTTTTCCTATGAGTGGACCCTTTATTTTTTTAGAAATTCTAATTATTCTTGATTATGGATTGAATAAGGGATGTTATGGATTAAATATGTAAAAGAAGCAGTACGTTGATAAAGAGGCTATATTCCAAAGTCAAAAGAGCGATTGGCCTGCAAAAATAAAAAACTTGTTCTGTTCTTTTTTAATTAGAACAAACATAAACTAATTGGGTAGAAAAGGAGCAGAAAAAGATCTGTGGATTAGACTCCCTTCCTTTCAAGGGTTTGTATTAAAAATGAATCTATACTGCTCATTTCGTGTTTAAAAGCACTTCTCATGGTTGTGGTTTCGTTTGCTGCTTGCGATGGAACTAGAAGAGATGAATTCGTGAAATATCAGCTTCATGTATTTTCTGTTAAAGAAACCTATCATGGCGATCCATACGGTACTATTAAATACAACGTATGTTGGTAATTTTTTTTGTTTCTACGTCCTAGTAGATACTAAAAGAAACGGACCAAGACGAAGAAGAGGGGTTGACTTGTTCTAGTTCTGACCGAGAACGTTGAGCATTGACCATACACGCGTAGAAAGAAAGAGAATCAAGGAGCGAGAACAAGGAAGTCAATCTGTGGTGGACGACCCTGAACCCTTTTTCTTTTTTCTTTTTCAGAGGGTAACACTGATCTTTTTCAGGTTCACTTCTACATAGTAGATGGCTTCCAATTCAGCATCAAAGTTAAGTTTGCGAACTAAAGAACGTTCACCAGATACCACCCCTCCGTCCTGTAATATAAGACATTTTTGCAAGCCAACAGCCTTTGATTTTAATCCGAACGATTTTGTGTACAGGTGAGGTGACTGCAGTAGCTAGCTAGCTCGATCTGGGCGGTCGTCGGAGCGAAAAGTTGTAAGGCAGGCTGCCGCCGCCGGCTGGTCATATGTCACACCACCCCGGAGCCATCTGCGAAGCTTCTCTAGGTGTCGACCTCTCGCCGTCTCCACGAGACTACGACGGAGGAGCTCAAAATTAGCAGGATATTCCAATGGCGACGGCCACCGAGGCTCGGGGGGCCACCCAGCCGCCCTACGTGAGCCCTCTTCCCCCTTTACACAACCCCAAAATGAAGGCCCTTTTTGCCATGAAAACGACCCCCAATCCATCTCACGTACCGCTAGCCCAACTTGTCATTTATAGAGCTGATCGATACCGAATTACCGATGGTGGCACTGCCACCGCCGCCCTACGTACTATTCCATTATACATACACTACTATATACTCCTATTTGTCAGCACAAAGTTTAATCCATCAGCTGCCCTATATATTCCATCCGCGCGCCCAGCTTGTGAACAAAAGCACCATCAACTATAGCCTATAGCTAACCACCACAGCGAGCACGCCAACTGACACCCACCGTTTCCACGTGGTACCGGCCGGGCTGACAACGCACGCATGGACAACCACGGCGATTTGTACTGCTACACCGGCCGCTGCATGGGCGCCGCGGCCGACCCCTCCTGCTCCTCCTCCGCCTCCTTGTCGTCCTTGGACTCGTTTCTTTCCGACATGAGCAGCGGCGAGACGATTGGCGCCGAAACGAGTCCTCGGCCCAACAAGCGAGCAGCCTCGACCGCACCGTCGTACATCGGCGTGCGCGCGCGGCCGTGGGGACGGTTCGCGGCAGAGATCCGGGACTCGACGCGGGGCGGCGCGCGGGTGTGGTTAGGCACGTTCGCCACGGCCGAGGCCGCCGCCATGGCCTACGACCAGGCGGCGCTCTCCTCGCGGGGCGCGGCCACGGCGCTCAACTTCCCTTTGGAGCGCGTCCAGGAGTCGCTCCGCGCCCTCAACGCCACCGGCACAGGCATGGCTGGCTCGCCCGTGCTGGCGCTCAAACGCCGCCACTCCAAGAGAAAGAGGCGCAGCAAGGCCGAGATAGCCAACGACGCGGCGACATGCACGAGGAGGAAGAGCAAAACGATGGCCACGCAGGAGCGGTTCATCGTGGAGCTGGAGGACCTCGGCACCGACTACCTGGATGAGCTTCTCAGGATCACGTGTGTGTAATATACAGCTTAGTTACCAGTACGTACTATATAGGCTTGCAGATAAGCTTTGGGGCGGTGCCATTTCAAGTTGGAGCACCTGGGTTTTGCGCAGTTAATTGGTGAATTAATTACACGTGATAAACGCCCAACTTTTATTAAAGCCAATAGCCCCAAAAGGCCGGACGATGAACAAACAACCCTAGCTTTAAGGCTATAACACTTTGCACGAAGCAAGCAAACAAACTGAAAGAAAATCAAAGTGCAACTTGACGACAACCTACACGCTTGGCCATCGTAGAATAAAGAAATACAACTACAAAGCAGCAGCCAACCCACTCTCAAGTTGATCTCGCTGACGCCTACTTGCTTCAGGAAACCAAGACACCAAGCCTTCGCTTTCAACTAGTTGACGAGCGCTTCTTCGGGATTCTCGCAATGATCACATGCGGTGGACTGAGAGCGTGCCACTTGGCGTGCTCTCAGCCGCCGCCACGTGTCGCATTCTGGGCGTTTTTTTTTGGATTTTGTTTTTCTTCGAACGCGTTTTCGGTTTTTTAGATGGTTTTTTTCTTTTTTTCAACCTTTTGGCTTTTCACTGGTTTTCTTAGTTTTTGACAAAAAAATCGATTTTTTGCGCGGAAAAACATGTTTTTTTGTTTTCTTAAGGGTACAGTTTTGCTTTCACGAGAGGCATGGTTTTGCTTTCGCTAGAGGCACGGCTGTGCCTCTCGGAAACAGCAAAAACATGGTTTTCCTTTTTTTTCTTCCATGAGAAGCACGGCCGTGTCTCTCGAAAATGAAAAAAAACGCGTTTTCTCTTTTTTTTTCCTTTCGTGAGTGACACGTTTTTGCTTCCGCAAGAGGTACGGCCGTGCCTCTCGGAAACGGCTTCCGGAAAGGGAAAAAGAAACGTCCTCTCGGTTCCTTTTTTCGTCTGTTTTTTCGTGAAAAAAAGTTCGTCAAAACCTATCAACACGGGATCTAGTTCTGAAGATTTTGACGCCAGGAATTCAACGGTGAAAACGGTTCGAGATTTCGACATACAATTTAAGAGATATTTTTTTGAATAAAGTCTACGAAAAAAGGGAAACTTACAGGTTGCGACAAGTGGCACACATGCAGCGCAACACTTGTCATAATCTAGGGAGGTGCGAGTGATCTTTGGATGGAGTACTCCTCAATTAGTGATTTCGCTTTTCCCTCGTCGACCACCTCGTAGTCTAGGTTTGAAGCAGGCTTGGGCATGGGCAGCCTGAAAGCGCGATGGTCGAGGCAGACCCATGCACTAGTTTTTGGCCCACAACGTGAGCTCGAAAACTCGATAGATGACCAAACACCTAACACTAGGATTTTCAAGATAAAAATATAGGCACAATTATGTATATATTCTGAAATGATTGAACTAATTATTTCAATAGAAAAAATGACACTACTTGCATTTTTGGGCTGATCTAGGCTCGGGTTTGAGATCTTAGGTTAAAGCCCGACCTGGGATATGACCAGGACTAGCTCAAAGTAGGCTCTCACCCTATAACTAGGAGTGGTACGTGCCTCATGGCCGCCATGCAGAACAACTGCGCATGATCACCGTGACTCGATGACCACACCTCGTCAGCTACTCTCCTGATGCCTATGGACGACCATGCCAAAAAGGATACTCTAGAGCAAGAGGTCGACCAAGAATATGATGCAGAGAGGTTGAGCCAGGGCGACAAGCATCCATAGAGAGCCACACTAGTGTGGATTGGCCTAGTTAATCGTCACATCTGCCATGTTGCTATCTCGGGAAGGGGAACCCTATCACCTCTTGCTGAGAGTCGAGGACTCCAACCTACTAACAAGCATGTTGAGCATGCACAAAGGCGATCACAAAACAAAAGAAAACAATTGAGCATACAAGACTTGTTAGACCTCGATGTGGATGTCGTAGTTAGATGCATATCACGCTTAACACGAGACACCTCCTTTAGATGCGACACTTATGGATGACAAGGCAACCCACACACAAAGACCCACTCCCATCGCCGCCTCATCACTGGCTTGACTAAGGAGATTGACCAACAGTAGCAGAGGCCCCTGCCACTTGGAAGCCATAGCCAAATAGAAAACCCTCTACTCCAGCTGCAGAGCGGTTGAAACCTTGTTGCCACCCTCACCGGCGGGCATGCGGGCTTATTGATGGCAACCTCCGGGGCACCGAGGGGAAAGGGAGCAAGGAAATGGTGGCAGCACGACAAAACCCTTGACGCCCTCGACGGAACTGTAGAACAAAGTCCTGAATGGTGACTTACATTAGTTACATTATCAATCCATCATTTACACATGTGCAATCTTGAAAACAAATACCCATGTCGCTTTTGTTTGTTTATCAGTCATAAACCTAGAATTGCAATTTTGTAGCATTGCAAATTGCTTTTTTTCAACACAATACAATCGAAGTCGCTCACACATACACTTACCTCTATGAACACACGCACGCACATCCTACCCCTATGAGCACCTCCAAGAGACTGAGCTGGCATAAAATCTTGAGATTTTACAAAGTCACCGTAGGCGCCTCGTAGTTGACGGAAAATATCTCCTCCCACTGAACGAACATCACCGGAAGCCTGAAATAAATCCAGGAATAATGCAAGCACCAATGTCACTTCTAGGACTTGAACTCTTGTGGACTGGGGATACCACCGTGCTCCTAACCATCTAACCACAAATTGATTCGCAGCATTGCAAATTGCTTTACTATGTATAAGATGGACGTGGGAGGAGTCTAATACTGCTAGCTAGGGGTGCATGTTGTTCTTTTACTTTATCAATCAATTAGAATTATAAGGGATAGAGCCATAAACGGACGATTCATGCCATATTTTTGAATTTGTTGGTCAACCAATTTTTGTTCTTTCTGCCAAAGGAGCATGACCAAGACGAAGAAGGGGAGTTTCTTCTTTTTCTGACTAAGAACATTGAGATTGACTATACCTAGAGAGAGAATTCATGGAGCAAGAACAAGGAAGTCAATATATATGTGCAGTCAACCGAACTTTTATAGCTGACCAACAGTTCTACATAGATGCCTTCCAGTTGAGCAAGTGGGATATATATACAACCCCATAATAGGTAGGGTGAAATTTGCACTTTCACATAATAACGTAGTAGAGTCCTTGATTTTAGTTTATCTATACTGGGTGTACACTTGGGGCTTAACAAATTCCAAAGTTATTCTAGTTGACTGCTGGAATTAATAATCCACCAGCAGCTGATGAGAATGTATCGATCCAGTAGAGCATTGTCCGGGTGAACCTGAGAGAGATGGTACTAGCTAGCATCATTTGTTTTCTCCAGGGTGGTTTACGCCATCGGTGACGGCAAATAGGGCTGTGTCGTCAGAGCGAAAAGTTGGGAGGCTGCCGGCGGCGGCTGTCCACATCACCTCGAGCTATCTGCGAAGCTTCTCCGGTTCTCGTCGCCCTCGTCTTATCTAATTTCCAGGAGGTCTTAGTCTTGTTTAATCCACGCGAGGGTGGTTGCTTCGTGAGCCGTTGGTATAGCTGGAGTGAGAGCGACCTCAGTAAAGTAGTTGTGGAATCGGCAAAACTATATTGGCATTACTCAACTGGAAGACATCTATGTAAACAAAAACTACGATGATGACTGCTTGACCTAGTCTCTTTTTGGAGAATGACCTATAAATTTATTTAAATTTCAAGAAAATCACAGGTACAATGCTTCACATCATAGTTGCAAGAAATTACAAATTAAGTTTTATAACTAAAAATTACAGTGAAATTTCTCAAAATCATCTTCTTCATGGTATCAATCTTTGCAACATGAAATACTGCCAAGACTTTAGTAAAATGAGTGCAGTCAGATTGAAGCAATGACACCGCCCCTCATACACCTGCACGAACTTGACCGACTTCGTAGGTTTTAGAAACCCTCTTGAATTGCCCACCGAACAGGAAGCCATGCATGAGGCTTTAATATACCTGGGACGGGGATATCTCCTAAAAGTACATGAATGTCGTAGAACCACAAGATCTTCAATAGAACGCCAAAGCACAACTCTGAAGTCAAAATGGACCATGCCAAGAAAAGTGATAGAAAACATTAACATAAACTCATCAGATACATATGAACGAATCCGAGAGGACATTAACCTAATGCCCACAAGGTCGGATACACCAAATCTCTGGACACACAATGCAAACGCTCCGGCTCCGTGGCACGGCCCAATAATACTTTGCATGATAATGATTAGGGGAAAAAATTCTCTTGCAGAATTTAGAATAGAAGTTGCTGAGGAGTAGAAGAATAATGCGTAGCTTGATGTACGCTTCATTCAAAATAGGCATGGAACCAAGGCTGGATGGATTCAGCCTGTGTCCACCAGCAAACAAAACGGTTAGCGGGATATATATTGCAGCACCTTCGAGGGAGCTACGACGTCAACGCTAGGAGGTGACGCCCATGAGGCTTGTCGTACTCAGCCGCCCAACGTCAGTGAGCGCCCCCTCCCACTTCAGTTGAGGCACTGCCCCAAAACCGAACGCACACTTTCCCAAGAAAACGACTCCCCACGTACGCATTACAAATTTTTACTTGTCATTTTTTGAGCTGATCATCGGCGGAAGTGGCACCGTCCTGGTACTCCTATTTGTCAACACAAAATTTGATCCTAATTTGTCAGACCTCAAGGCTCCATCAGCTCTCTCTCTCTCTCTATATATATATATATTAACCCATCCGATTAGCTAGCCCACAGAGGAGAGGAAGCACACCACCATTTCCTCCGGCCGGGCTGACAACACACACATGAATAACCACGGCGATATGTACTACTGCACCGGCTGCACCGATCCCTCCTGCTCCTCAATTTCGTCGCTGGGCTCATTTCCATCCGACGACTTGAGCAGCGATGAGATGGCTGAAACAAGGCTGAAAAACTCAGCAGGCTTGGCCGCCGTCGCCCGCACCGCTCCAGCCTCTTGGAATCATTTCCAGGCCGGACGCATGGGCGCCGCT